TTAGTAAATGCTGGCATAGCCTCTCAAGGCTAGGCTACGAGCTTTTATGTAGGAAAAAAGAGATTGATTTCGACGGTGAAGGAATAACATCGTGTAATAAAAATCAAACCCGCAAAATTACAGTTTGCTTAATTACTACTGGTAGGACCTCTAGTGAGTACTGGTGGTATGACCTCTTGTGAGTACTGATGGTAGGACCTCTTGTGAGTACTGGTGGTAGGACCTCTTGTGGGTACTGGTGGTAGGACGTCTTGTGGGTAATGGTGGTAGGACCTCTTGTCAGTACTGGTGGTAGGACCTCTTGTGGTGAGTACTTGTGGTAAGACCTCTTGTGAGTACTTGTGGTAGGACCTTTTGTGAGTACTGGTGGTAGGACCTCTTGTGACTCAGCGCGGGTAGGTACCACCACAACGACTATTTCTGCCGTGAAACAGTAATGCGTTTCGGTTTGAAGGGTGGGGCAGCCGTTGTAACTATACTTGAGACCTTAGAACTTATATCTCAAGGTAGGTGGCGAATTTACCTCATAAATGTCTATGGGCTCCAGTAACCACTTAACACCAGGTGGGCTGTGAGCTCGTCCACACATCTAGCAATAAAAAAAATTTTAAAAAAATGTAAAATAAAGTCCGTTTTTTTTTTTTCGTTTCCATATACGATGAATATCGACAATATATTTGCCATACAACTTAACTGTATACGTTAACAAACATATTTGCAAAAGTAAAGTATGTAATCCACAGTTCACGCGACCACGTCACATACTTTGAAGTAAACTATCGAGCCATAAATCATTTCGTATCACGGCGGGGTGCATGCCGCTAGCAACAGCAAAGAGTAGTCAGTGCGAAAATTAAACGCTGCAATTCCATTGTTAAACAAATTGTATTTAAAAAGTAATTTTCAATAAGACTTTTTGATTGAGTAATTCAATATTTAGAATAGAATCTCAATAGGAAATAGGGGACATCTAAAGACCGAACATAAAGACCAGACAAAAACTAATATATACCTACTCTGAAAAATGTGCGTGATAGCGACAGAGAAGGTCCGTGTCTCCGAATAGTTTAAAAATTAAAGAGAGTCACGCGTACACGACTCGCCTTAATAAAAAAGCCAATTCTTCGAAACCTCATGATTTCTTGAAGACGCCTGTCTATGTATGCGTGAATTTTATTCACTTTTTTTGCCTACCTATGCTAGGAGCCTCGAAGGGTTATAAAGGCTTCACGTTACGTGTAGGCAAGCTCACGGGGCTCAGTCTGGCCAATATGCTAACAAAGCCCTAGCAAAGGCAGTGCTTCGCCGAATCTACCACCGGATCGGAATCGCGACCCACTGAGAACATCCGGCGAGAAAGTCAGTTGGCTTTTCCGTTAATTACTTTATACAGATGTGCCTGAATAAAATTAACAAGGTTACCACACTTTTGCCACTTGCCTACACGGAATTTTAAATGAACCTATTCACGACAAAGAACTTGTTACAATTTTTTTTATTGATTTTTGAAAGACCATAAGTAAGTACCACTATAACCACACTTTCTTATTCATAAGATACCACGTCCACCAAGAGCATTTCGGATCATTTGACAAAGGTTTATCCATAACATTGTCTTCAATCGTGACCACCGCGCGATGTATCGCGAACAAAATACAAAAGTTGTGGGGTGAAAAGAAGTACGCCCGATATGCGAACTGTGAAAATTGTAACAATTACAAAAACCGTTAGATGAAGGACGATTGGGCCAACCAGATTAGTGTAAATAGCGGATGTAAAGTAATCTTAAGACCTTAATAGGTCTAAGAGCAATTATCTCAGTGGTTCTTTCTACTGAGAACCTCGTGCTTTTGTCATTTACATATACATTTGCGAGATAAAGTAAACAGAGTTCATAAAATAATTATGGCTTCTACAAACACACACCGAACTCAATGAAGCAATTTTGACAATCGAACCTCTAATCAGAACCCATAAATGTTTTATATTTATACAGTGTGTGATATGGCCTAAAGTAGTTTAAATATTTTCCCCCTAATTTATTTTGAAGCTAGTAGTTCGGAGTCAAGCAATTATTTTACTGCCTTGTCGATAAAGCTTTGAGATGTGTGATCGCAATGAAAATATTAACAAATAGGAGGCTGTAATTAATTTGCATTTGCAAGTAAATTTGCATGTCTTAGGATCGAAACTATTTAAGCTATGCATTACTGCCAAAAATGATTTTGTTTAAAGTTTAAAGTGCACCCACTTGTTTTTCGATTTACGTGTAACGCAATTATTCACCGTTTTGAAATAACGTAGAAAATGTATATAGATATTACGTTCGGGGCCCTTATACAAGGTATTTTACGTAAGGTAAGGACGGCATTTTTTAAAGGTTCCTTAGAACGGCGAAGTCCGACCCTGGATAATCATTATCCTGCCCTTCTCCCAGTTACCTGGGGTCGGCGCAACATGTTTTCTCCTTCCATACTCTTCTATCATATACCATTTCTTCGCTCACTCTCCTCTTACCCATATCGTCTTTCACGCAATCCATCCATTTCTTCTCAGGTCTACCTCTTCTTCTATATCCTACCACATTCATTGTTAACACCTGGATAAAAAGACTGTAAATTCATGCTGTTCACAGTCATCAGTTCAATTTTATGATCTTAAGTTAACACTGTCGAACGGATAGTTCAAATTAATAATACAGGAATAAGTATGGAGCCTGTGTTTGTTCTTTTATTAAAAAAAAAACGATTTAATTTAGTTGTCATTGCTGTCAAAGAATTATTTACATCTCAATAGGCAAAGACAAATAGACCTTTTACTCGTCTGTATTTTTGAAGTGAAAACTTCTTTAGAATCGTTGTGATTTCAAACTGGATGCAACGGAAAAAACGACAGGTAAGAGACACAAATACAAAAATGTGTAGGATGAAGCCAGCAAAGAATGAGACAGAAATATACATACTATTTAATACAGCGCCATCTGTGAGATTTTTTAATACTAACGTGTGTATGAAAGCTCTTGTAGTGAATTTTAATTTAGGATTATACGTGAAATTAAAATATCAATTCACAGAGGGCGCTACCTTACAATTATTTACTAATGACAAAATTTTACATATACTTAAGACGTTTAGGATAATTGTATTTTAATTTTGGAAGGTTTCACTTCTACCACGTGTGAATTGCACACATGTTTTTTTTTTCAATCGATTTTCTTTCTTTTTGTTTCTTCTATAACGACGAGATTTAGATTTATTATTATAATCTATAAATAAAATGGAATCGATCGGTTTTTTTCCTACCTTAATAAGAAAAAATTAAAGTAACAAAACCAAAGAGAACATGTCGCCATTAGTGCATAAAAGAAATCTAAATCTTGAAGCATCAGTGATTATGGTTGAATTTCGAACACAGCACGGACACTAATATTAATTATTCAATCACCACGAATGACTTTTTAAGTATTCGTAACCTTGAAATATTAACAATGATTAATCAAGATTATTTTCAGCTTTCGTTATGGTTGGATACGAATTATTTATACGTACAATGAGTTGAGTGCTTAGGACAACAGTAGCTGGTGGTAGGGTATATCAAGGGCTGGGTATGTGTAAGAATCCCTATTTCTGCCGCAGAGCAAACACCCTGAGATATAAGTTCTAAGGTTTCAGTATAGTTACAACGTCTGTCCCACCCTTAAAACCGAAACGCATTACTGCTTCACGGCAGAAATAGGCGGGGCGGTGGTACCCACCCGCGCGGACTCACAAGAGGTCCTACCACCAGTAATAACGCAAATTATAATTTAGCGGGTTTGATTTTTATTATACGACGTTATTCCCTCACCGTGAAAGTCAAAGTCAATCGTGAACATTTGTCATCGCTAGATACGAACGCACCGGACGTCTTATCCTTTAGGCCACGACGACTTTAACGAAATCATTATACAAGTGACACTTCAACGTCGTATTTTAATTTAGGCAGCATCCACATTTCGATATACCCGAGCTCCAGTATCCTTAATAGTAATCTCGATTGCTCATAAAAAGAAGAAAAAAATAATTTAAAAAATCTGTCTTCGGATTAATTTCCTGATAGCTTTATCTTTATAATCATAATTGATGTGTTTGAATACAGTTCGTATCCGTTTATCGCGATAATACCCGACCGTGACCTGTCGATCGGGCAGAACGCAAACTTTACGTAACGATTGTTGTAACGGTCAGCTGACGTTATAGAGTTGAATGATTTTGAAAATAAGTAAACAACTTATTATTCGATTATTAGATGGTACTTCCTCCCGCCCCGGTTCCGCTGCAGCTTCAGCAGAAATTTCAAAACTTTTTAACAGAAATCTCCAAACGCTTGAAGGAGGTTACACGTGATGCTAAGGCTGGCTGGTACTTTGCACAGAGAGGGAGTCTGGCTGTCCAACGAGGCAACGTAGCCAGTATCTTGGGAACTGTGCCTCCTTCAAGCGCATTGGAAGATCTGTTCTACTGTGTGAGTTGATTTATGTTAAATTATTTTGATATGACTTTTTATTCGATTAACTTAGAAAGTGTTATTAAGTAATTTTACAATGGCTTTCCATTTTAAGCTTCCGACGCTGATAACGTCAAAACAAGAAGCAAAGGGATAATACGAATCAGGTTGATGAATTTCGTTTTATCTGTGGCATCCGACACAGGCCTGGAATCTAAAGTTTAGAAATATTCTGGGCGTGCCTTCCTTCAATAGTTGGTCAATTGTTTTTAGTTATGTTTATGTAATTAGAGCAATTTCTTTAGATTTTATTTTGATCTTGCAGTTCAGACTGTTTTCTCTCTTTTTATTTGAAATACCTAATGGAAGTAGCTGGTTGAAAAATTAAGCATTTTTTCATGCTTACGAACGTAACTTCAAGTTTTCGATGTTTTGTTCGTTCATTTGTTTTTTACAAGTACAAAGGTAAACGCTGTTGTTTTTTTTTCTAAGTTTATTTTTTAATATGCACTTACCTAAGTACGTAAGCGTCGACTTGCTCACTCTGCGTAAAAGAGATGATCTCGCAACGAACTATCTTCAACACATTCTCCCATTGTTGGCTGAAAAAATTAAAAACATCAAATTTACTCTGCCCGCACTAAAAAATAACATGCATTCCTACTTATTGATTAATAAAACGAAAATTTATTTCCTAAAGGATTCGATTTGAGCAGCCTTTTTGAAAATGGCGCGGATTTTTGTGGGCTGGTCTTAAATATGGTCTCAGACCAACCATTACTCGCCGACGATGCCCGCCATCGACCACAGACGAAAATAGTTAAAACAGCTGACTCTAGGTCCAGAATATTCCATCACTTCTTACCACATTATACTGATAAGGATTTTGTAATAGTTTGTGCATTTAGTTGACATGGATTTTTTACAGGATAAACAATATCGCGAATATATCATGATTTTCATTCATGTCGGTTTATTTTTATTGTGTTGAGTTAAATTGCCGGTAACCTAAAAGGTGCGTACTGAGACGAGAATGTATTTTAAACATTATTGACTAATAAATTAGGATTACTTACCGAGTAATTTTCCTCAGATCCGCATTTTTGGCCGGCGTAAACCATATTTCGATCAATTTTTCTACCCCTTCGAAAAATTGATCATTACTTTCACTATTTGATATTATCTCCGTTTCAGCCATTGCGACGTTAATATTTTGATTTTTTATGTTACCCTTTTATTAATATTTTTTCCACTTATAGCTCGAACGACAACCTCCACGCAGAGAAGTCGGAAGTTAACTGAATGAAATAATTATTGGCAAAATTCGGACCAAAAGAGTAATGTAGGTAGCTATCACCATCCCTTTCCAGCAGAGCGAGCGAGCCGGCGCACGTTACGTTCGGAAACACTGACTGAGAAACGATACAACTACATTTGTCTATTTATTTAAATTTTAAACATGAATTGGTGTATTGCCAATTAAAGATTTAATTTAATTAACCATACATTATATTAGTTTGCCGCTTATGAATTTTTAAGGGGACACGATTTTTTTCTCTATCAATAAAGAATATATAGGAAGTCAGGTTTTTTAAATATCGTGAATTAAACTAAGTTTTGCAAGATTAAAAGTAAAAACTGTGGGAAACTGAACATTTCAAGTCAGGTAGAGCTACTGCAATCGCCACGCTTGGCATGCATCATATTGTCTTTGCTGGATAATACTCCGAGAACGTCGTCCAAATTTTCGAACAGCGACCACTCACGCGCAGCGTGAATAAGATTTGCACAATGTGAATCGAGGACATGATTTCCTTAGACGCAGCCATGTCCCTGTGCTTAATGCGAGTTTTTAACGTTTTTGATAGCGTAAAAGTTAATTCGAATTTGTATGCAGTTGGAACAGCGCCCATAAACATAGGTAAAACTCCATACAAATTCGAGTTAACTTTTACGCTATCGACAACGTTAAAAAACTTGCACTAAGCACACTGGTCATTGTGGCAAGTCGTAGGGCTAATGATGATGACAATTTTATTAAATGTTAATATGACAGTACGGCGGACCACACCGATTACAAGTTTGCAAGAATTATTTTCCGGAATTATTCTGATCAGACAAGTATCATGATAAATTTTAATATTAATAAACTGCCAGTTGATTAGTTGATGCTCTTGGTGGACATTTTACAAGATAAAGAGATACAAATCATTAAATGTAGAGAATATTGTTAATAGTTTATTATTTGCAGTTGCAAGTCGCACTTCACTCTTTACTTGAGTAGTAGCTGAATGTCATACAATTCATACACCGGGTTTACCAATATGGCCAAACCGGCTAATTAAGTGTCAGTTTACCATAAACTTGGACTATCTAATAATATATTTTAGAATTTTACAGTCTTTTCACACGGTCTTAAATGTCGCTTTCGTTTTTTTTTGACACCCAACGTTTTGTAATTTACCTTTACGCTTCAAGTGACACCTGTCACTTGTTCTTAAAAACTCAATCTACAATGACTGAGGGTATCTACCTACACAAAAAAAGCCGTAGGAAAAGCAGGGAATCGTAGTTACTGTAAATCGCTGATCAGCTGGAATCTTCTAAATACTCCTGGAACTTCATAATTATAACTCGTTTCCTTATCTTGAAGTAATCTACTATTAGTACTAATAATAAATTACATAAATATTAAGACTAAGTGTATTAACTAGTTATATTATTTCAGTTAGGTATATGGGATTGTGGAACGGGTAGACTAAAATCACGGCATTGTGGAACGGGTAGACTAAAATCACGGCATTGTGGTAAAACAAGCTAAAATTGTGAATACGGTGATGAAACGGTAACGTGTTGAAGCGGCTAACATTGCTAACACTGTTTTAAATAAATAAAAAAGGGTGCGTGTACTTATGTACGCGCGTAAGAAGTTATACTTTATGTTTATTAAAGTTTTTCTTTTTTTTTCTTTCTTTTTAATCAATTTGAAAAAAATTCGATTAAACAACATCCTCAAACATGCATATTGGACATCCCTTTTGTTGACATCGTATAAATTCGGTAATTCTCGGTACGGTTCGAAAGTTCACCTGCGGCTATATTCAGACTCGCCAAGTTACGTCGGGCGATTTAGTGGGCAACTTCATTTCTGTTAATTTTGTGTCACGGTGCGCGCACATCGTAAAATTTCACTCTCATCAATTTTTAATAACGCGCCTAAAGAAGTATAACTTCAAGAAATAATCGAAGTTGTGTTTATTTATGGTATTGTGGCACAAATTAATTCGGGATTTATAGGGAGACTTATCAAAGTTAGCAACCCAGCACGATGAAGCTAAATCTAATAATAACATTTGAACAATCGATACAGTGTTCTTTACATTATCACTTAGTTACAAATGTTATCAGCTAAATTGTAGTATGTGATAACCTCTGTTTGAATGACTGCTCGCTCCTACACATAAAATTATAACGATTATGGTTTTTGTGTAGCCTGTATGTAGTTATGTACATATTTTTTCTTAAAGCTAACAGTATTAATGTCATGTTGATTATAGAAGAAGAAAAAACCAATAAGTTTTAATGTTAATTATATTTAAAATTTCATTTTTCATATCTCTGTGAATTCAATGCCAGTAACAATAAGAATGATTAATAAATTTGATAAATTTACTAACTACAGTGTATTGATCCCTAACAGAAGTTCCTGAAAGTGAACCCAATATAAATTGTGACTGTCTATAACTTATTAATGCTGTTGGCACCCCATGTCAAATGGTCAAAAATAAACACACGCTTGGGAATATCGGTCTCATCTTCAATCTGACGTTTTTCAAAATAGGAATTTTCAAAAATTACAAATGGTCATTGTTTTATTTTATGGTCAGACAAATATTTGTCAGAAAGCCCATACTCTGCCCCGAGAAGATAAAGAATGTCTGTCCCAGTCCATTTTAGGCCACTGGATTCGGACCTAGAGGATATTCAATGTTTTAGGGTGGTCACGACAGAAATATGAGGGTTGCTGTCATAGGTTTTAGAGTCCCACCACCTATCTGATATTGGTAATAATAATAGGGTGGTATTTACAGTTTCAGATTTGGGAAGTCTTTTTGTATTATGTATACATTTTTCATTTGCTGTTAAATACAGGTGATAACAGATAGCCCACATATTGGTGTGAGCCTAATGGCAGCAACATCAGAAATGTTCAAGACTTGTTTATGCACAACAATAATTTCATTAAATATCATAAATTTTCATATTTATTAACTAATTTATGTAACTGTCCCATTTCAACTTTTTTCACAGGTTTAAACTTGTGCCTAATTGTTTGTATCTGTGGCGGACTATCATCCTCCTTGTTGTTTTCATAAAAGTCTTCAATATCTGGTTCTAAATCCCGTTTTGTAGATATTGTAGCTGGTGGCCTCTTGTCGTTTTTTCTTGTTTCTATGTCATTCGAATTCAATTCTATGAGGTTCCGGTATATTTTCTCATTGAAATGGAAATTTAGTTTCTTTGTTAACTAGAACAGACAGGTACCATTAAAAGATTTTAAAAATTTTAAAACAAAAAGAAAAAAGAAATTAATTATTCTATGAAATACACACACAAAGTAAAATAGGCACAAGATTAAAATTTTTTAATCATATTACAAATTTTATAAAAGACAAAGTCTTTATTTATGTTTTATTTACAATTAATAATTAAATTTAAATTATATTAATTATATAATAATTAAGACTTATTTGAAATTTACTCTAAATTATATTTGGCTTAAATTCCTAAGGCAAATTAGCACCCAGCACACAGCAGACTAATACTGTAGGCCAAATAAAGCTACAACATATCAACTCTTGAAAGGCAAACGTGATTAAGCGACAATCCGTGAACTTTACAATAGACTAATTTAAAGTTGAAATACCTGAAAACAAAATTAATTTTAACGAATCTAGCTGTAGTAGAATCTAGCTAGTAGCTGTAGGATTGAAATGATTTCAATAGACGTAGAAATATATTTTTTTTGCGCATCAAATATGGTTATTGCCTGTCATTTATGTACAAAGCAGTTATTGTCGCTTAGTCACGTTTGCCTTTCAAGCTTCGATATAGTTCCAAACAAAACTTGTAAACTAAAGTCAGAAGATTCTTGCAATCTATTCATTGGCTACAAAAACTATTTTACAGTCAGTACAAAGAAGAGCTTTAAATATTCAATACGCGAAAGCATCGCATATCTGTAAGACAATTTCAATGAGCGATTGATGCAATCTATATAGGAACCACTATTCTATATCTATTAGTGCGCGCATATATTATTTTTATGTCTATATAGTATTAGAATACTATGTGTACTAATATAGATATTAATGATTGTATTCAGAAGAACATGTTAATTTTGCACCAAGATTGCTTTTGGCAAATAAAACATTTGATGAACAAAATCCATTAGGACCATTGCCGGCACCTATAGAGCAAAATAAACACCTTATCTTCTAACTTACCGTAGCATTAACATCCTTTTTATTGGAATTCGAAACCAGAACTTTCGATGCAAGGGTTTTTTTTGCATTCGTTAAATAGTTTGCAAACAATTCACTAGAACAGAGAGTCGGTTTACTCAGTTCTGTATCATGTAAATTAATCCCGGTAATTTTGGATGTACTAGCGACTCCATGTGCGACGTGTTTCTTCTGTTCAATTTTCTGTTCACAATTTCTTACTAGTGTTTTCTTTACTTTCACATCATTTCTTTTCATATTTAACCAAATTTATAACTTTTGTTTACAAATTTCAAAACTGGCGTTACAGTTTACAGTAGTAGTTTTGTTTTTCTAATTGGAAAGGCGAAGGTATCATGCCATACAGCCTAATTTTTATAATATATTTTTTATATTAAATAAAATTATGTCATATTTTTTATATAAAAATTATATCATTATATATTTTTTATATAAAAAATTATATTATGAAATGAGATGATGATATAAGATGAAATAAAATCTCAGTAAAATGGTGGTCATTTACTGAGACTTTTAGTGAACTTTTTGGAAGATACATAAAAGCTACGTCCATTAGTTTTTGTTGGAGTTTGAATATAAATGTAGTGGCAGGCAACACTTGACACATGCTTACTGATTTCGAATATCAGAATTATTTTAAATGTTTAAAAAAAACAGATGATTGTATTCTCCTAATATAAGAAAAGTCAGAACTTCTCATCTAGACACGGCAAGAGAAACATGTAATAGTTTTATAAAAAATATAAAGATAATAATTGTATAATGGTGTAAAAGTGTTCAAGCTATCTGCAATATAATTATAATGAAGCAGTTGTATTTTTAAATAGCCCCTCATCACCTACAGAACCCAATCCCCTCAAATTTAACCGTCCAACAGTTTTGTTTCATTTTTCCACATTTGTGCACTTTGAGAGATACTAGAGAGTTAATAAAGTGTCGTTATTATACGCCCTTAAACATGAAAAAACACTAAATTAATAAAATAAAACAATTTACACAATTTAGCTTCTCGCGTTCCCGCCAAAAGGTCCCTGGTTTTAACTGCTACGATTTTGTTTATATAATTATTTTATTATCATTTAATAGCTTTAGTTAATAACCAAATCTTCAATTATTATTCCTTTTGTTCCATTTCATTGTTCATAAAACAGGAATAACAAAGCATTGGAATAACAACGTTGTATGGTTTGACATTATCGCCTTTCCAATTAGAAAAATGGAACTCCTACTACATATTGTCAAAAGTGTCAAAACCAGCTGGAACGATATTTCCGAACGGAAACCGTGTTTCGTGTCAATAGCTACATAGCAATATTCATCATTCAAAATTAAATTTTGTGAAGTAGAAAATTATATATTCGCACTAAAAATTAAAAAGTTATTTATTTACATTTTATTTAAGTTAAAATTATGTCAGATAAACACGTCGAATTTCGTGTAAGTACCAATTTCACCGACTTACATGTACTTAGTTTAATCAAACACTTCAGCCAATTTTGATTTTTTTTTAGAATCCCGACTACTTGCCAATTGAAGCGGTGTTATTAACTGTGACGAACGCCGGCGTTATACAACAAATTAAAGCTTTGGTGAGATATAAATAACATTATACATAATATGGTACATATAAATCTTTTTGTAAAATTCTGTTAAACATCGATTATTTTAGTTATATGCTCTTGAATCTATTTCTGTATAATACCTACAAACTTTTTGCCCAACAATTAACAATAAAAGCCCTGTTTTTAAATATGTTTGTAAGTAGATTTTTGCCTTAACATATGACTATTTTTAAGCAGTATTATACTACTCTTTTATACTATACTTTTATATACTATATTATCGTTTTTATTCTATACTACTATATATACTGCTATATATACTATTATTAAGCAGTAGGAATCGGCTGAGCTGTGCTGCTTACGTTGCGTCATAGAGACATAGCCATGGTTTCAGTTGTAACCTAAGAGCAGCAGAGCAACTAAAACTAAAACTGGGGGCGCTAGAAAGATAAACTCGAGCCAAGGTAGTTCCCTTGGCTCGAGTTTAGATCATTACGCTAATGGTACACATATACTTTATAGTATGTGGTTTCGTTTTGATATCATTACTGTGTTTAGTGAATATGTAAGATTTACTGAAATCATGCAAGATTTATGTTTACTATTTTTGACTGATAGACTGGTACCTCAATACAAAATAATTCACAGGATCCGTACTGGGTGGATAATAAGACATTGTCTGTTTATGAAAGACCACCATCAGGCAGCAGTATGGTGATTGGTGCTGTGGACATGTGGAAGACCAAGATGGCAGTATACTTAACAGATTTGAAATGGCTACTGAGTTTGGAATACCATAAGTAATTGCTGCTTATTGTTAGTTATTTATAGTTTTTTGGAATCATCATATGCTAATGAACATATTATTATGGTCTACTTCAGTCTTTCCCAAAGTGGACGATAACACCCCCTTGTGGGCGTTGCAAGCCTAAAAGGGGGGAGGTAAGAGACCCAGAAAAAAATTGGGGCCTTGTGTAGAAGCTTGGGAGGATAATTTCATCTATGAGGACTCTCAGACTCAAGTTTGAGAACCCTTGGGCTGCTTGATGGTGAGCAGTCAGTGCCTCACATATCATAACCCCCTCCTTGAAAGATCAGGTTGCATTGTGTAATAAGTATGCATTGCATTTACTGGTGATAGGACTTCTCATGAGTCCGCGCGAGTAGGTACCATTACCCCGCTTATTTGTGCCGTAAAGTCTCTTCAAACCAAAACGCCAGTAATGCGTTTTGGTTTGAAGAGTGGGACAGCCGTTGTAACTATACTGAGACCTTAGAACTTATATCTCAAGGTGGGTTGCGCATTTACTTTGTAGATGTCTATGGGCTCCAGTAACCACTTAACACCAGGTGGGCTGTGAGGTCGTCCACCCATCGAAGCAATAAAAAAGAATTAAAAAAACCTTTTACAGGCTTTATTCTATATTACTACAGCTAATTATTATTATTATAGCTTAGCTTAATTATTACAGAGCTTTTTTTTTGGAAGGCAGTACTTACATAAATACTTTCTAATGTATAATTACCAACAAAATTCGCACTTGCCTCAGAATCGAACTATTACTTAGTTTATCCATATTAAAAGTTTGTGAATGATGTACTCCTATGCAGAGTGAACAGGAAACTCTTATTTCATCCTATATCATCTCATTACTTTTTTGTTTTTCTATTTCATACTCCTAGTTAATTCCAGTGTATGATCTCAATTTCAGGTTCTGGAGTACAGTTCTCTATCACCCGACATGTATGGACACCCTCGTGTCGTTTTTACAAGAAGCCACCCCTCCATATTTACCCCCACACGAGAGTAAAGAGATACAGAATTTATATGAGGAGATTAGAAGATTTGTACTTATAGTTTTTAGTAGACTTGTCACGAATAAAGAGAGCAAAGTAAGTAATTGAGGGCCCCACTAGGCAGGTCGGTATCAACATGTATGGGTCTGCAATCTTCCCTATGGTCTGTGGTCAGATTCAGTCAGGCAAATCAATTATGTTAAGAGATGCAACAATAACAATTTGAATATTCAAATATGCCCAATTTGTACAAGAAATTAACATAAACTATCCGATTTCAGTCTTGCTGGATGTCAAAAGAATATATGGGTGACATACTGTACAATAATTTCATATTCACGATACCGATAATATGGGACATATGTTTGACATATGGTGTGGACAACACAAGGCACGTGTCACGAGTGTTGGACAGTCTCTTCACATTGCAGCCGAGGTATGAGACAGATGCTGTGGCTGCTGTGGCCTTCGTTAATGAGGTAAATACGCACTGATGCAGAGCAGCTTAGCTGTTTAGTATCAGAAGATATTGGTACATTCTTCAAACTCCTTAAAAAACATCTTCTATTAAACTTAACCTGTATTTGTATATTCTTGGTTTTTTTTTCATTGTGTACACTAGTAAACTAGCTATCACGGTCTTTTGGTATTAAGTAAGTTACAGGAGCTCATAGACATGACTGTAATGTTGCCATTAGCCATTAGTCACATCTTGAGATATGCAGTAAGCTCAATTATATAGCAGTAGCTTCAGGACGGCATCAGCAACACTAGCCGTTTTAATCTTTTCAATTGACATTGCAGGCTTTTAAATTCATTATCCTACAAGTCAACAAAGATTATGATAGTGATGAGCCACCGAACTTACCTGAGACCTTCAAAGGGTTCAGCGAGATAAGGCGGCCCACAAACAGTAAGACAAAGGATAAACTCACTTTTGAAGTGCTCAAAGATTTAATAATACATTTGTTGGACACCGCATTGACTCTGAGGATATTTATACAAGTGTACCCTAAGGGAGTTAATATATTTAGGAAGACTAATTTTGTTTTAAGGTAAGTTGATAAAGATGAAACAGTTAAATAGCATTTTCTCGTGCTTTTGTCGGACATTGATGATCTTTTGTGATACTAATAAAAAATACTTATAAAAATTTAGGATATTTTTGAGTCTTTTTATATATTAGAAGAAAAAATTTTTTTTATACATAATATGAAATATGTGGGGTTCGCTCAAACTAAATAACACAGCCTTTTTGTAGAGTCACAAAATATATTATTTTAGCACACGTTGTAGTTGTTCACTTTCTAATGCTCGATCGCCATCTTGACCATCTCTCCTCCGTCCCTTTCTTCCCCATACATTCATCCCTTTCACTCTAAATGTTACGTTTCCCACATAATATGAATAGCTTGAGGTGTCAGTTGTTATGATCGCAAAAATGTTCTATTTAGACCACATTCGTACATTCTCGGAAGCTCATTATAAGCTCACATGATTTTTATTATTTAATTATTTGAATCAATTCGATATAAAAGTTCTGAAATCAAAATGTTTTCAGTATAGTTCAACTTTACGAATATGGTGTACCGCAGCTTTACGAGAAGCTGGAGGAGGTGGGGGATCAGACCAGCGTCGCGTATACCGAAGTAGAGTCGTACCTCGACACGGCTAGAGCTGAACTCATCGATGTATTTAGAGAGATATTGGCGGTTTATAAAAACGCTATATTTAGTGAAGAGTGAGTATTCTAATAAAACTTTTCTTTCCTCTTTTTTTTAATACGCTTTTATTAGCTTCAGACGTACGTATGTTTCTAACGGAATCTTCGAATATGATTTTGACCCCCTTTCAAAACGTCAGATTAACTCGAAATTTGGTATACTTATTAGGAACCGATGACAATTCAATAATAAATAAATGAATTAAAAAAATTACATTCATCTAAAAATAGAAAAATAAATAATAGTTTAAAAAAACTAACAATATACACTTTTATAGAAAATCCAACTAAAAAATAGAAAATAAATTTTAATAAATTTGAATTAAAAATAGTGTAAGAAAAAATTATTTTATTGTAAAAAAAAGCGTAGGGTGCTTTTCAGGATATAGGATATAAATTACAGGCAAGCTTATGACGCACTTGGTTTTAAGTGTGGAGGACCATTATAGCGTAATGTGACTGTCGCCACCAAACTTGGATTTTTTTTATTACCCTTGTAGGCAGACAAGCATACGGCCCACTTGATGATGAGTGGTTACCGTCGCCCATGGACGGGACGCCCATGCCAGGGGCAGAGCTAAGCCGCTGCCTACCAAATGGGAATGTGGGATCTCAGGTCACATCTAAGGCTTGTGGAGTGCTGTGGTGTGGCTGTGACCTGCAAGTGCCCACTAATGAAGCAGTTACACGTTCCGACTCGAAAGTTAATAAAATCCTCATTTCAAGCAGTCAAGGCTTGTGTCTCGTGCTAGAGCTGAACTCCATCCTAAACTTATCAACCATACTGTTGTATCTAAATTAGGTTTCCCGCTTTTTATGAGCAGCGCCATCTGTCCCAATTTTGAGGAACGAATTGCTTGAGGGTTTTTTTCCCTACCTATGCTGATAGCCTTGAGAGGCTATTTCAGCTTCACCCTAACGTGTAGGTGAGCTCACGGGGCTCAAACTGGAGGTGCTGTTAACACTGACCGTAGCAAGAACAGTGCTTCGCAGAATCTACCATCGTATCGGAAACGCGACCCACTGAGAAGACCCGGCGAGAAACTCAGTGGGCTGTGTCGGTGGGTTAATTCACGGACGGTGACAGGTCGAGGGATAAAGAGGGTAGTGTTGAACGGGTGGGTTGGTGGTGAACGAAAAATAAAAAATAAATTCCAAAATAAACTGATTTATCTATACTAATATATAAAACTACAGTGGTTTTTACGGATGTTCCGTTATAACTACTGAACCATGCATCCGATTGACTTGAAACTTGGTATCAATGTAGTCAATACATGTACTTAATGGATAGGCTAATATTTATATGAGTGTTGGACTCCTTAATAATAATGACAATAAATAATAATGTTAATTTTAAATGCTCAGCGAAGCGGGCAAGTACGGCTAGTTTGTTTATAAAAATAAGCAATTAAACATTGTATAATATAAAGTATAAATTAGGCAGTTTTGAAACACTCGAATCTCGACACTAGCACGCACGCACACACGCATACGTAATAGAAAGAGATAGAGAAAAGGGGCGGTGGTCAATGTCCTCTTATTAATAATTTGTTTACCTTTTCTTGCCCAGCGAAGCGGGCGAGTACGGTTAGTATAGTATAAATTCTGTCTCCATAGAGGTAGTAAAGAGAGCCACGTGGAAGATTACCTGGCGGTGATGATGGAAGGTCTCTCCGAAAGGCTTCTCATCAAAGACTACCACAGCTGTTACCCGGTGCACGAGGACCTGGACTTACTGAGGCAGGCGTGTCCTGAAATGTATCCTTTAACAGATTTTATCGTTGCAATGTGAATATACCTTTGTAATTTTAAACTCGAAGGAACGAAAACTCGACACTAAAAAGAGACAAAAATATGCGTGACATGATGGAGCATCAATCGCGTGGGAGTCGCACACATCTATACTAATATTATAAAGCTAAAGAGTTTGTTTGTTTGAACGCGCTAATCTCAGGAACTACTGGACCGATTTGAAAATTTCTTTCAGTGTTAGGTAGCTCATTTATCGAGGAAGGCTATATGCTATAACATCACGGTAAGACCAGTACAAGTGGAGCACCAACAAAGAATGTTTCAAAATAGGGGTTTAAATAGCTCCTTAACATTCTATAATTCAAAAATATTTTCACTTTCTACGTAAATGAAGTGGGGATAAAATTTAGCGTTATACCAAAGTAAACTATTCCACGCGGACGCAGTCGCGGACAAAATCTAGTATACGTATATGAAATAACCAATAAATGAACTCTGAATGAAGTCTGTACTTACATATTTAGAAACTTAATTTAGCCAATTCAAGGTCTTCAACCAATAAAAACAAGTTCGATCATGAGAGAAACAGAAAAATTAATAAAACTCGAATTAATGAAAGTGAAGCCCCAACTAAACTAAACTAAACTAAACTAAACTGAACTGAATTCAATTAAATTCAATGTATCCATAAATTAATAGCCTAAAATATGTATAACATAACGTTTCGATTCTATCGTTTACATTTTCCTTAACGAAAAGAACAGAGACACAGTGAAAACGGACTTTATATTGCAAGCTGTCTACTCGAGCCTGGACGAGCCGGCGCCGGAGCCCGCCCCGCCCCCCGCCACCAACACCGCCGCCCCCCACATCGGTATCCCCCACCCCGCCCCCCCGGACAGCGAGATCCCGGACACTGTCAAGGAGCAGTCGCTGATCAGCGAGGTCCGGGACATCCTGCCGCACCTCGGGGACGGCTTCATACTGAAGTGCTTGCAACATTACGGCTTCAATTCCGAACGGGTGATAAACAGCGTGTTGGAAGATAATCTGGCGGAACCCTTGAGAGGTAACTTTTTTTTATTGCCCTTATATGCAGACGAGCGCACGGCCCACCTGATGGTGAGTGGTTACCGTTGCCCGTGGACTTCAGCAATGCCAGGGGCAGAGCCAAGCCGCTGCCTACCAAATTGTCTACCTAATTGGCAATATCCATACATGCCAGTAACATCCTAGTAAACAAAACAAAACAAACTAGTATCCAAGTTCCTTTATTTATACTTGATGAGAGAATGTTAAGTTGTTAACTCTTGTTTTCATGTTCTTTTAAAATTCTTTTTTTTTATTTATAACTTTATAAACTAGACAGGAAAAAAGCGGACTTAATGCCATAGGCATTCTCTGACAGTCCACCTTAGGGGGGTGCAGAGATGAACTTTGGTAGGTGTAGTGTAATATTACTTAAACTTTTTTTTTTGATTTTTTATTGCTTAGGTGGCTGGACGAGCTCACAGCCCACCTGGTGCTAAGTGGTTACTGGAACCCATAGACACCTACGGCGTAAATGCGCCACCCACCTTGAGATATAAGTTCTGAGGTCTCAAATAGAGTTACAACCGCTGCAAACTGAAACGCATTAGTGCTTCATGGCAGAAATGGTCAGGGCGGTGGTACCTACCCGTGCGGATTCACAAGAGGTCCTACCACCAGTAAATTGGCGGATTTAACTTTCCAGCATTAGACCGGAGCCTGCCGATAATACCGGAGGACCCGGTCGACAGGCGCTACCTCGAGACCGGTATCCAACGGTTGAACGTGTTTGACGGAGACGAGTTCGACCTCATGTCCCGGGACGACGTGGTCACGGCCCGGATGCACGTCGGCAAGCGGAGGTCCAAGTACAAGGACCTCACGCAGATGCTCGACGACAAGACGGAGCTCCGGGGGCTCGCGGACATTTACGCCAAGTACAGGTGAGCGTCAACTGCGACTCCCGGTACGGAACCTATGAGGGGTCTCCCTACCAGCCTCCCTAGATGCATTCGCGAAGCAGCTGCCCTTGAGCTTTTGTTAAGTGGTTACTGGAGCCCATAGACATCTTTGAGATATAAGTTCTAAGGTCTTTGTATAGTTACAACAGCTGCCCCACCCTTCAAACCGAAACGCATTACTGCTTCACGGCAGAATCAGGCAGGGTGGTGGCACCTACTCGTGCGGACTCACGTGAGGTCCTACCACCAGTAATTACGCAAATTATAATTTTGCGGGTTTGATTTTTTTATTACACGATGTTATTCCTTCACCGTGGAAAGCAATCGTGAACATTTGTTAAGTACGTATTTCATTAGAAAAATCGGTACCCGCCTGCGGGATTCGAACACCAGAGCATCGCTCGATACGAATGCACCGGACGTCTTATCCTTTAGGCCACGACGACATCTTTGACTTTTCTTTCGGAGACGCTCAAATCCTATCCCTCTTTGCTCGGCCACCTGTCTTGGTGAAACTGGAAAGGCCTCCGAGCCACCAGTAATCCCTCAATCATAAAAAAGACCACACCGCCTCCGACTTTGGACGGAACGTGACATACACCTAAAGCTCTCAAATTCAGTAGCAATTTGACTGACGTCACTAACGCACGTGAGTGTTGCCGCCAGATGGGCAAGCCGCCCGGTGCACGCGCGTTGGAGGTTCTCCCGATTCTCTTAATGACAATACGTACTTACAAATATTCACGAATGATTTCCGTGGTATAGGAATAAAATATGGTGGAAAGCACGTTTCGTGAGCACGTCCGGGTCGGCATCACCATCCCCCCTTTTTGCCGCGAAGCAGAATAATTGTACTGTAGAACTGATTTACTGGTGGTAGGACCTTTTGTGAGTCCGCACGGGTAGGTACCACCACCCCGCCTATTTCCGCCGTGAAGCAGTAATGCGTTTCGGTTCGAAGGGTGGGGTAGCCGTTGTAACTATACTGAGATCTTAGAACTTATATCTCGAGGTGGATGGCGCATTTACGTTGTAGATGTCTATGGGCTCCAGTAACCACTTAACACCAGGTGGGCTGTGAGCTCGTCCATCCATCTAAGCAATAAAAAAAAAAAAAAAAAAAAGTCAGACCTCATGTCTTTAAATGCGCAGTGGCATACACATCGTTGATGTCTATCGTCTGCGATAACCGCTTCACACCAGACGGACTGTGAGGTCGTTTAATGAAATAGTCTTAGCGTCATTGTCTGTTGTGTTGCGCGGCGCAGCGTGGTGTGCGACGAGGAGGACATGTACTCCGACGAGTACGACGACACGGACGACTGGCAGCCGCCCGCCGCCGGCGACCACCCGCCCTCCGAGGTACCGCCGCCACCACACACCACCACCACTACACACTACCACCACCACTGCCCACTACCACCACCACAACACACACACACACCACCATCACACACTACCACTACACACCACCACCACACACACCACCACATACATCATCATCATCATCATCAACAGCCCACAGTCGTCCACTGCTGGACATAGGCCTCTCCCAATCTACACCACTGAGCCCGGTCTGCTGCTCTCCTCATCCACCTCCTGCCGGCCACCACATACACCGCCACCATAACACACCATACCCACCTCTTAATATCACATGCGATAATAACATAATAGGTTGGGGAAAAGTCTTTTCGCATTATAGTATGTATGAACTTGTAATAAAATCTCTTTGGCTATACTATTTGTATCTGGCTGGATTTGGTATCATTTAAAGTTTAAATTTTAAAGAAGATAATTCCAAATTCGAATTAGGAAAACGTGTGATTTTTATTTATTTTTCGCTGTCAAGATGAGTGAATCTAATGAAGAAATTCGATACATTTTAAAATTTTACTACAAAAAAGGTAAAAACCCACCGCAAGCCGCGAAGAAAATTTGCGAAAATTTTACTTTAATTAAATGTAAATAAAATATATTAAAAAATGTTATGAATTTTCTTAAAAAATGCGAAGAAACTTTTTGCCCAACCTATTATTATGATTTTGGGTTCATAATACAAAACAAGAACATTTAGATTAACACATTGCTATGTGGTTTTTGTTGTGGTAGCCATCACAGAACACAAGATATTTGACAGATGCCTGAATCTCGCTTACGACATTTTCAAGACAAGCTCGCATATATACAAGTTCCTAACAACTAAATTCGGACTGTCGGTCTACCGAGCAATCTCACCCGCTCGGTGGAAGATCTTCCCTTTGTCGTATACCTACAAACTGGTGACACGATGTGATTTTAACTTTTGTTTAAGCAAGCTTCACTTGAAAATGCGTAAGCGAGATTCAGGCATATCGTCTTTTCGCATTCTTCCTATTCGTACACTCTTAACAGAGTGGTCGTGGTCATGCATCAGTCGGATAAGACCCGCTCATGACTCTCGTGGGAAATTAGTGCAGTGGTTTCCCGTTGCCTTCTGCACCAGCATTTTAGGGGGTATTTGATCATTTTAGGGGCTTTTTTCGCATTAAAAGTGTACAATTTCCAAAAGTATTCGAAATTTGGTTAATATGCGGAATCATTTGGTATCACCAGTATTTTTCTAATAAATACTATCAAATGAGCGTAGTTTAGTTAAAAAAAATTTTTAGTTTACCTATTTTATGTGTTATGTTTTGACTACTATTAACAAAATTAATACATAATTTTTTATCTTACTTTAAAAGACCGATAATGTAACCGGTAAAAAAAAACGTTGCAAAGATGATTACTATTAAAAATATCGTCAGGTTTGAGCCCCGTGAGCTCACCTACTAGTTCAGGTTACGCTGATATAGCCTCTCAAGGCTCTCAACTTAGGTAGGAAAAAAATTACCACATGTTAAACCTTTAAAACACTCCTCTAAAATTAGTAAGTTTTGAGATTATACAGTTTTAATGCGAGAAGACGATATGTCCTTGTGTTCTGTGATGGCTGCTGTCACAGTTTCGAATAGTAATGTAAATGTAATATTCAAAAATTTATTTCCCACCAGGAATCGGAAGAGGAGCCCGAGCCGGAGGAGGAGAAACCTTCGAGCAGCAGGAACAGGATGGACTTCTGCGTGAACCCCGAGGAGCTCCGGGCGAGGCGAGAGGCCAGCTTCCAGGCCAGGAGGGGCAGAGGATACAGACCTCCTGCAAAGTAAATAGATGTTGTCATTCTTCACTACATAGTATAAAACAAAGTCGCTTTCTCTGTCCCTATCTATATCTGTCTGTCCCTGTGTATGCTTAAATCTTTAAAACTACGCAAAGGATTTTGATGCGGTTTTTTTAGTAGAGAGAGTGATAGAGGATTAAGGTTTATATGTATAATAACATCCATTAAATAGTGGAGAAATCAATAATAAATTACAGTTTCCGAAGCGAAGCGAGAGCGGGTCGCTTGTTTGTAAATTATATCATACGTCTTGGTCACGACGTCTACCATGAACAGCGACCCTGACATTTTTTTTTGCTGAGGTGTGTGGAAAAAAAAGTGACAACCTTTTTTACACTACACACAAATGACTTGCTTCGTTAAAAAAAAAGAGAGAGGAAGAGAGAGAAAGTATTCTTTATTGTACACAAAAAAAATTAATAAACAATGTAAAACATTAAATACAAAAAAAGTACAATTGGCGGTCTGTTAAGAGCTGTTATTTTAAAAAAAATATGCTAATCTTACAACGCATCTCAATTGTTCCATCTGTTGCCCAGGAATGTGGACGTCGTGGGGAAGGCTAAGGGTCAAGGCCAAGAAAAGAACGTCCTCGTGAACAGGGAGAGGAAGGAGAAGAACAAGTCCTCCCGCGGCAACCACAGCAGGAGGCAGGGGGCCCAGTGGAAGCGCACCCAAGGACTTGTGCCGTCGTAAAATAATAAACGAATCTTTTAATGACGTCATCAGTTATTTAACCTTTCCGAGTGTACACCCCCCAACCACCCCTCCCCCCGATTTTGTGCACGCGATATCGAAATGTTGCCAACGTTGTAGATGTCTTCGTGTTGCGGATGTGTTCTTCGGTAGCCACTTAACAACAGATGAGCCGTGAGTTCGTCTACCCATGTGAACAATAAAAAAATGTACCAACATGCGTGAAAATACATTAATAGAAAACATTATATGCGAAGTCATCATACGTAATTTTGTAAAATAATATGTAATGAAATATATTACAATAATAGGTAGTGCTTAAAATACTATTTTTATAACTGCTTAAAGTGCGCGCGGAACTAGTTGGTGACGCCTTAGGTAGCGACAGGGGTGAGGGGGCGGGTCGCCTACTGCTCGTAACGCACATGAGATTAGACACTCAACAAATGTTCACGATTGGTTTCCACGGTGAAGGAATAACATCGTGTAATAAAAATTAAACCCGCAAAATTATGATTTGCGTAATTACTGGTGGTAGGACCTCTTGAGAGTCCGCACGGGTAGGTACCACCGCCCTGCCTATTTCTGCCGTGAAGCAGTAATGCGTTTCGGTTTGAAGGGTGGGGCAGCCGTTGTAACTCTATTTGAGACCTTAGAACTTATATCTCGAGGTGGGTGGCGCATTTACGTCGTAGATGTCTATGGGTTCCAGTAACCACTTAACACCAGGTGGGCTGTGAGCTCGTCCACCCATCTAAGCAATAAAAAAAAGATGACTAAATAAATAAAAAACTGTTTTATTGCCGTATAGGCAGACGAGCATACGGCCCACCTGATGGTGAGTGGTTACCGTCGCCCATGGACTTCAGCAATGCCAGGGGCAGAGAGCCAAGCCGCTGCCTACCGTTAAGTACTCTCCACAAGCCACGTTTCAAGAAGGACATGTCATAGCGCTCGGGAAAAACCGTGGTGGAGCTCATTCCAAAGCCGGATGGTACATGGTAAAAAAGATATCTCTGGAAACTCACTGCGGACGAACGCAGTGGCTCCAGGTAGTATGGATGAACTCTACTCCGGTGGCGGGCGGTGCGATGGTAAAAACGAGATGCTGGTATCATCGAACAGTTCCTCGGAGCACTCCCCGTGGAACATGCGGTACGGAATACAGAGGGAACCAAAGTCCCTCCGCACACCCAGAGGTTCGAGACGATCCGTAAGATGAAATTATTCTGACATATTTTAATGATATATGAAATTGTTTAATTAATATTAGAAACTTATATGAAATTACTCTGACATAATATCCTCTGAATCATTTGATTCTGAACTCTCTGAGCTTGATTCAGAATCATCTTGTAAGCTTATAATGATTTCGTCCATAGTATCAAATCTCATATCAGTAATGACAGCAAGCGCCCCCGCCTCTACGTCCCGCCGCTCACATACCTAAGGTGCGGCCAACTTGTTCCGCGCGCACAATACATAAATGCACGAGCTCACGGCCCACCCAATACCGTCTTTACCATAAGGGCACACGGGGCCCGTGCCCAGGGGCCCCGAAGGACCGACAATTTCTCTTACACATTTATTCTCAAAACATTTTTGTCGGGCACATAACACTTTTTTCTGCGAATCACAGCTCTTGCTAGGGTTCGTGTTAGCAACGTCGTCAGGTATGAGCCCCGTGAGCTCACCTACTAGTTAAGCTTAAGTTGATATAGCCTCTCAAGGCTCTCGGCTTAGGCAGGGGAAAAAAAAAACGTAGAAATTGCTGCAAGAATATTCCTTTGCCTAATGGTTACGAATTGTAGTGGAGAGCGGTCATTTTCGCAGCTTAACGCCCGGTTCCAATATCCAAAAAACGAATCGTTTTATATTACGATCCGTTACAATATCTACGAATCGTAGGACAAAATAGTTCCTATAAAAACGACTCGTTTTTAAAATTACTGATGACTTGCTACTAACGGATGGGAGGGCTAACATAACGGTTCGTACTGCGTTTTGTATGGAGACTGTTGTCTGTAGTGTTCCTATATTATTTTAGAAATGTCAGTGAGCTGTCACAACTACGACGCGTAGAGCATTTTTTAACCTACCGATTTTGTTCGGTTGTGCTTTGGAATTTTTGTGTTTGTGTTTTTTCTTTTAAAATGTCGAGTTCAGAAAGTGATAACGAAGTTTTAATGTTACTGAATTCAAGCGACGATTCAAGTGATGATACGCGAAGTAATAGAGTGTATAAAACAAGAATCAATTATTATTCAGAGCTCGATAATCAGGAGTTTCAACTAAGATTTCGGCTCGACAAGCAGTCTGTGCAATTACTGTTAGGTGAAATTTATCCTTTTTTAAAGGTAAAAGGAACCAGGTTCGTATTTTTAATGCCAGCTGTTAATTGGTATTTTATGAAGTAGTTAACTATTTAACAAGTGATTACATGAAAATAGTATTTACTAGTTTATTTTAATTCTAGGAATCATGGAATATCTCCCTTACATTACAATTTATCAGTTTTTTTTGGTATTTTGGCGCGGTCCGGCCGACATCTGGCGTTTCCTTTGTCTCTTCATGGCGTTTTGTTCACTTTACAGTTAAAACTAAAGTAACTGTTTTTAAATTGTGAATGTTCAAATAAAATTACATATGTGATGAATTACAATTAATTTATATTATTTTAAAATATTTATGTAAAAATACTAATAAAAACTTATGTATTTTGAAAAGAGTTTTATTTCTAAAGGATCTTTGTAACACAATCATTTGCATTACCGAAACGCAGAGGGATTCGTTAGTAAGCAGCGCGCCGACGGATGCTCGTAGGTAACGCGGCAAGTTAAATAGTTGTGGAACGCTAATATACGCCTACGTATTGGTAGCATGATTACGATTAGTTGTTATAATACAATGACGATTCGTTATTTTTTGGAACCGGGCCTAAGAGAATAAAAAATGAATTGCGAATAACAATGTTACAAGAACGGCTGAGTTATTTGTCAATCATGTGCATGGAATGTAATATCCTTCAAAAAATTTACTTTAAAGATATAATAGAAGATTTTGCTCAACAGAAATCTCGGAAAAAAACCGTTATCGTAATCGTAACCAAAAAACCAGCAGCATTCTAATATCATTAATGACATATTATATCATACTGTATTTGATTACGTATAATATACCTAAATGGTCATACTCAGTAAAAAAATGTTATTATAATTCGCTTTTTTACTTTCCAAAAGGGCCTCAAATTCTTATGTGCCCAAGGGCCCCAGCCTAGCTTAAGACGTCCCTGGGCCCACCTGGTGTTAAGTTGGCCCCGGTCACCGGAACCCATAGACATCAACAAGGTAACTGGCGACATCCACCTTCAGACAAGAGTTATAAGTCTCAGGTTTTACAGTACAACGCATTACTGCTTCACGGAAGAAATAGGCAGGGCGATGGTACTTACCCGAGCGGGCTCACTAGACGTTTTACCACTAGCAATTACGCAAAATTTAATTTTTGCGGAATTGATTTTTATTATACGATGTTTATCCTTCACCGTGGAAGTCAATCGTGAACCTTTATTAAGTACGTATTTCATAATAAAAATTGGTACCCGCCTGCGGGATTCGAACGCCGGCACACTCGCGTCGATACGAAAGCACCGGGTGTCTTATCCTTTAAGCCACGACGACTGCATAAGTCTTTTAAATGTCAATAATCTAGTTGGATGAGCGGTTATTGAGAACTACTATTGATGTTGCACGGTGACTGGTTAATATTCATGACTACGCGAAATAATATTTCTTTGTTTGACAATGTCCCGCCCCTGCTCTTAAGTAAATAGGTGCGTTATTCTTGAAGAATTACCATTGTTCCGGTACCCAGGGTAACACGTGGGACTGGAAGGTTTATCCAATTGCTTTCAAACTATATTCTCAATTTAATTTAAATAACGGCATGAGGGAAGAGAGAATTGTTCTAATAAATATATTTCATAATTAACATACAAACGGAAATACAAAGTAATAAGAAAATAGAAACGGATTACAAAAAAGAAAGATGAGGATGTCATCAATCCAATAATACTGCAATAGCTCAAAAACTATTAGCATATAAATAAATAAAACATCAAAATCAGTTAACCTAGGAAAAAGTTCTAAGTTCGAACTTAAAAAAAACGTTTGACTTCGGTTTAAAAAAATCGACAAATTTACAAAAAAAAAGTTTAAAACAGCCTTAAAGAGTATTATAATCTGTCTGTTGACACGTGTAACGACAGGTAAATAAATGATTGCGGAGAGCCAGCAATTTAAATGATCGTGTCGCCACAAATTACATGTTGACGCCGCGGAATTGATACCGACGGAGTTAGATTCAGCCTGCGGACGATACTTTGTTAAATTGCATTGAATAACCAATGTCGTTAACACTGCAGACAACGTGTTATTATGTTAACAACTTTGAAAATAAAAAAATGACATTTTTTATGCTACAGATAGTATTAAATGTCAGACAGACTAGAGCAAGGAGGTTGTGTATGTTTTTGGCTCAGCTCAAGTTCCGATGCAATGTGGGAAGACGTTCGTAAATTTGGTTTAGGTTATTGCGACCTGCCGACCATGATGTGGAATGTTTCGTTCTTACTCAGAGGAATCGCTATTAATATCGATACAGAACATAAGCAGCGTATGTATTCGATGTTGATTAACTAAAGCAAAGATACATGTTATAAAACGGAATAATAATCTATCTATAAAAATGAATTGCTGTTCGTTAGTCTCGCTAAAACTCAAAAAGCGCAGAACGACGCCGCGACGTCTGCTGGGTTCATTAGTAATCCTTACTTCACATCAAGGGGTGAAAGGCGCTTAAGCGACATTTTTGCAACTTTACAGGAGAGCCATCAAAGCTTAAAAATTGGAGAAAATTTCGTAACAAAAAAACTTCTTCAGCTATTTGAATGGAGTAAACTTAATTGAAGTTTGTTTAAAAACATTGAGTTGTTGATGTTAAAAACAAATACCTTTCACACCTCGATATAATTGTAATAAATATTATATTATTGCATTATTTTTACTGGTGGTAGGACCTCTTGTGAGTCCACACGGATAGACACCACCACCCCACCTATTTCTGCCGTGAAGCAGTAATACTTTTCAGTTTGAAGGGTGGGGCAGAACTTATATCTCAAGCTGGGTGGCGCATTTACATTATAGATGTCTATGGGCTCCAATAACCACTTAAAACCAGGTGGGCTGTGAGCTCGTCCACCCATCTAAGCAATAAATAAAAAAAACCATCCCTTTGGTACCATACAGTCACCCTTTTGCTCCTAGTTCGAAACTTGGTAACGTTTAAATCACAGGTATCCCCCTGGCGGTGTACGCTGTGACCGGCTCAATAACCGTGTCGTACGTGTACGCATTTCTGATCTCGCTGTTATGGTTTCTGTTCGCGCGGTGCACGGACCCCGAGGACTTCCAGGTGGCCATGGTGGTCTTCTCGCTCGGAATTTCCAGTGAGATCGGCTCCACGAAGTTCTTCAACACCATAATTTATATGTATGATGTTTTAATTATTTTTTCTTGAACGCATTAAGAGTCATCATAGATCAGTCTTCAGGAAGTAATAAGTACATATTACCGATTTATCATTTTTTCTGTGAAACTAGTCAAATTTTCAGGTTGTATGTTAGGATAGCTCTGTGGATATAGGAGCAAAATGATGGCGTCCTCCAGGTACTGCTATTATTTTCCTATCATCCTTCTTAAAAGTAGTGTTCTGAACTGCCCCACTACCCTATTGCCCTTTACCTATCTCTTACCTAATTAGTACCTCGGGTTGGTACTGGGGGAAAGCAAGAGGTATTATAGGCATACATTCGTAAACTGGTTAGGTTAGTCATCGTGTGTGTGGCGGTAGCGGTAGGTTGAACACAAGATATTTGACGGATGCCTGAATGTTGCTAAAGACAATTTACAGTGTAAACTTGCATATACACAAGCTCCGAAAAACAACATTCGGACCGTCGGTCTACCAAGCAATCACACCCACTCGGTTGAAGGTCTTCCCTGGCTGTATATGGTGTATACCCCTAAAAGCGCAATAGCGGTGCTTCCTGCTGATGACATCCCACTGCCAATTTTTGTATTGTTGACATTACTGATTGAGATTCATCACCAGTTCAAGCACAGTATTTAAGTCTTCAATAAAAAATCCTGACGGCGTCAGCTGATAAATCAAAACATATATTGTATCGCCATCACACGAAACATGTTTTTAAAAAAGATTATCAATCATTATTAAACTAACATTTGTTGAACCTACGTGAGTATTAATTTGATAAAAAAATCAAAAGACAACTCTGCACATCAACTGTCTTGAAGTATTACTTTAATTTAATACATAAGGGACAATTTTAGCCATACCCAGACAACAAGGAATTTAAAAACATCTTCATTCCAGTAAAGAACTTCGCAAGCTATTCAAGGACTATCTGCTGTATGACGCGACATGTCCGGCACAAGGGCGGCTGCGTCTACATTTACTGACGACATTAAGATACGTCAAACGACGTGCGATAATCTATTGGCTCGTCATCATTGGCAACGGATTCATCTTCGCTATCAAACCGCTGCTTGTGGAAGGTCGACATCTCGCGCAAGATGACTTAGTTCTTATAGGTACTCATATCCTTGGTATATTCATAGACTAAACCACCTAAGTTAAACAGTTATTGTTGTTCAATGTCTTCATAATTTTATTGGATGATACCTACCTTAAAACTATACTGGAATATTTATTTGGCACAGAAATATAAAACCAAATAGTTGCAAAAATCCCTTTTTTTACCTACCTATTGCTAATAACCTCGAGGGATTGTGTTAGCTTCATCAAACACGAGGAGAATCTCTAACAACTTGAAACAAAAATTTGATTGCTCCAACGCTGTAAATTTTCAGGACTGGAACCGATGAGACAGTCTCCAAACTACGAGATAGCCTACGCCATAATGACAATGGGAGTGTGTTTCATTTGTTACCCTCCAGCCCACGTCACCATGTTCTTGATTATCATAGTCGGATACACGGAGGCACAGATGTTGGCCCTCAGCGAAGAACTGAAGCATCTGTGGAACGATGCCATCGAACATTACGAAAAGCATTCACGAACAGAACGAGAAGCGGACGCGGCCATGAAATCGAAAATCCTCAACAGTTTTGTTAATTTTCGTCTAGTTCAGATCATTAAGAGTCATTCGACGAATGTCAACTTAATAGGTCGGGTGGAGAACGTGTTCCGAGGGTCACTGGCCGTCGGATACGTTTTTCTGATCGTAGGGCTCATAGCTGAGCTACTTGGCGGTCTCGAAAACACGTACCTACAGGTACCCTTCGCTCTCATCCAAGTTGCTATCGACTGCTTCATCGGGCAACGCGTTAATGACGCAAACATTGATTTCGAGAAAGCCGTTTATGATTGCAAATGGGAGAACTTCGACAAACGCAACATGAAGATCGTGCTGCTGTTGCTACAGAACGCGCAGAAGACGGTGTCGCTGTCTGCGGGCGGCATCGCTAAGCTTAACTTTAGCTGTTTTATGTCAGTAATAAAGTCCATCTACTCTGCTTACACTACTCTTAGAACAACCATGAAGTAATGCAGGCAAGGGTACTGATGACCCTTAAGGCACTAAACCTTCATGTCGTAGTTGAATTAATATTTCAAGCAGGATAGATAAGCTTTACCTAGTCTTTTTGCCTTTTCATTAAACATAACTTATTGTTTTTTTTTATTTTTATTTTTTTCGTTCTGAGCATCCTCTGTTTGTTCGACTAAAAATGAAACAGTTGAAAGTAGTTATGTGCTAAGCTTGATTAGAATAACATCAAACCATTAGAATAGTTTAATAAACATTACTTCAATGATATGCATGATATTTTTTAAATTAAAGGCATGAGTGATGATAGCAAAATTAATGCTGGTCGTTCGTAATCACAGATTACAATTTATTGATCATTAATTGATGCAGATTCGCCTCCATGGCCCCAAATTACATGGGGGTAACTCTGATATGGTAACTTATAATTTAGCAATTTGGGAATCGAAAATTACACTATCAGAATTATTTCAGTTTAAGGCATTTTTAGCTTTAAGTGCTCATAGTTTCAGCTCAACTGATTAAAGAAGGTCCTGATTGCCAACTTATGCTTAACTTTCTTCGTTCATCGCTGGAATTAACACACACTTACATACACACGCAACAAAGCTATCAATTTTCAGTTTAATAATTACATAATTGTACTCGAATTAAGCAGTGGGCTATGTCACATACGGAAAATTATGTTATAACCTCATAGGGTGTTCCTTTTTCTTTGTCTTTCAAGGTGCCTCGAAAATAAAGATATGCTACAACTTCATCACAGTCTAATAACGATCATTAATTTGTTTTTCATTACCCTTGTAGGTAGATGAGCACGTACGTACAACACAAGCTATACGGTCAATTCGTCCTGCCTTTGGTGCGAACTATTCTCTAAAGATGATCCCTCCTCTAGTCTTCTTCTTGTTTGTTTCCACCTTATCCCACTAGGCGGAGTCGGCACAGCGAATGTTTCTATTCCATTCTCTTCAATCATCCGTCATCTCAACTCTCTCTCTCTCTCATATCGTCATTCACACACTCCATCCATGTCTTCTTCGGTCAACCTCTTCCCCTCTACCTTGCAGTACCATTTCCATACATCTCCTAGTCACATGCATCTCTTCTCCACGCATCACATGTCCATACCACACAAACCGTCCGCTCCTTAATTCGTCAATCCCCAGGGCTACTTTCACACTTCTTCTGACATACTCATTCTTTATCTTATCCATTCTTGTCACTCCACACATCCATCTCAACATTCATATGTCCGCCGCATGCTTTCCTCTTTCATGCTTCACAGCACGACCGGTCTAATGACTCCCTCCCCCTCCAATCCCAATCACGATTTTTTCAATACAGGAGGTTCTAGTTTCTTTTATTCTGCAATCAGGTGATGTGTAACAGCCATCTGACCACTCCCATGAAAATTAACTTGAAATATTCCGTTACATTGATGTTATAAGCGTGTTAATAATTTTACATTGGAAGAATTTTGACTTTTAGGAACATCAATACACTGTAGATAGGTTTTCCTACTACAATTATTTAAGGTAATGAAATAACGAACCTACGAATAGTAGTTAGTGATTACATTGAAACCAATCCAAAATCCAACAAATTTTACGATATCTCTAGAACAATCTTACGGGCTCAACAACTGAGGACCCGTGCACACTACGTTTTTTAAACGCGACGTCGACGCGCGTGATAAAACGCGTGGTGTGCACAGGCCCTAAGTCACGGACTGCTAATTACTTTGGCACAGAGTCAATAAACCATGTTAGTTGAGTAAATTATATGATCTCTAAACACCTGAAGGCAAAAATCTCTCTCTCTCTCTCTCTCTTTTTCAAGGCAACCATGTGAATAACCATAACAATAATTAAAGAAATGTAGAACACCCTTTGAATACTGCGGTGAACGGGCGCGGAGCATAGATTTCACTTAATTAAAAAATCACTGTAATCATAACCGGAATACGAAATGGCAGGCCGAAATAAAGGGTATGTTCTCGAATAAAATCGAACAAATATCATAATATATCTCACGAAAATAGTTCGTAAAACCAGAACTTTATCTGAACTAGTGATTAATTCAGAATAACGCTAGGGGTATTTGTATTCTTGGATAATAATGTGGTCAGGTGCGAGGAAATATGGATTGCGGTATTGTGATTTGCCTACAATGCTATCAAATGTAGGATTTTTCTTGAGGCCTCTTACAATAATTATTGACAATCGACGTAAAAAAAGTAAGTGTAGTCATTGTTCTAGAAAACAAAAACAAAATTTGAAACGAAGAGAAAGAACTTCTCTTATAATTTTGGCAGTCTTTTCAAAGTTACAAGCATAATGTTAAGTCTACTCCTCTTACTCGTTAGCCTTACAGCCCGCTGAACTATCATCATCATCAGCCCACAGTCGTCCCCGTTGGACACAGGCCTTTTCCTACACCACTGAGCCCGGTCTTTGGCTCTTCTCGTTCATTTCTTGCCGGCAATCTTCGTAAATCTCACAATACGTTTGCCTTTATTTCTGGGTGGGGACCGCGCCATCCAAAAATATATCTGCTCCAGCGACCGGTAGTTCTACGGCAGATACAATGTCCCAGACCACTTGCCAGTTCTGCTAATTTATGCTACATTTATGATGTATAAGTAAATCGGTGCTATTTGGGTCCGGTAAATTTACATTTGGTTTATATTGGTTTGGGTATATTTGGTGCTATTTCCCAGGGATCCCGTTGTACTGGTACGCTGCGACCGGACTGTCCATAGCTTGCTATTCGTACATATACCAGATCTCCATGTTGTGGTCAGTGTTCTCCTACTTCACACGTGCAGACGATGTACTAGCAGGCATCGTGATCTTCTCGCTGGGCGTCTCCAGCGAGATAGGTCTTGTCAAACTATGCTTCATGTACGCCAACATGTAAGTATTTATATGCATGTACTAATAAAAAATACAAAGTATGCTTAAAACTCTTTCCGGTTGTAGTTCCCTTGTTAGATTTATATTCAAAATACTATAAGCTGTCACTGGTAACGTCTTATTAGTAAATTGTCCAATTTTACCAGCATACCACGTAGTAGCTAATAGACATCAGCACTTAGAACATTCAGCCAAATCTCAACGTCCTTATTATAAGACTAATTACGAAGACTGTTACAATTCAGTTCTTGAGGCATTTCCGGAGACAAAGTGCGTAAAACGACAGAAATACTTTTTTTTATTGCCCTTGTAGGCAGACGAAATACCTGTCAGCACTCCACCAAGCAACAGAACGGGATCGGTGGAGACAGCTAGTTGACGGAATCGGACGGAGTCACGATCCTGAGCAATGAGGGACCGATTGAAGAGACAGAGAAAGAGAGAGGCAGATGAGCATACGGCCCACCTGATGGTGAGTGGTTATCGTCGCCCATGAACTTCAGGGGCAGAGACAAGCTGCTGCCGCGCTGCCTACCTATTAATCAAACGGACCCGTATGCCTTTGTTCTATTACCTGTGCAAAATTTTAGGTATACTACTTATATATATATCTCTAGCATTTTCTTCGGACTTCGCGAGTCGTACACAAAATTAAAAACTACTTTTACGATGGTGGTAAGACGTCTTGTGGGTCCGCACGGGTGCCACCCGTAGGTACCACCGCCCTGCCTATTTCTGGCGTGAAGCAGTGATGCGTTTCGGTTTGAAAGGTGGGGCAGGTGTTCTACTTTAAAAACTCATAGCTCAAGGTGAATGGCGGTATTCAGGTTGTAGATGTCTATGGGCTCCAATAACCACTTCAAATCAGGTGGGCCGTGAGCTCGTCTACTCTTCTAAGCAATAAAATAATAAATAAAATTTTCGCGTGTTTTTTAATTTTCTCTTTTTGGAGTATTCGTGGTCACGTACGACTGTAATCGTAAATAATTATACATAGTTTTAAATAGCTAGAACTATATCGTTAAACTATTGAGCTTTAAACGTAAAAAATATCAAAAAGAATCTGAAGGGACATTTTTTGCTGCCTTTCATTTTCAAAATTTACTTCCAGTGATAAAATTCAAAAAATTACCGAAGGATATCTTAAAAGCGACGCTGCTTCAACGAGGAACAGCCGGTTTTCCAAGAACATATTACACACAATGCAGTCCGTTAAGAAGCGCGGTATAATTTTCTGGCTAGTGATAATTAGTAATGGAGTTGTCTACCTCGTGAAGCCAATCGTGACGCCCGGCAGGCATTTCATGGAAGACCAATTCATCATTTTAGGTACGTAGGCTGGCAAATTTTCTAACTCGATGAAATATTAATTTATAGACATCTGTGAAACATTTATCGCACTAGCTTTGCAAATAAGCCTGATATTGTGACGATAAGTCTTCACGTCGCGTAATGATGGTTGATATCACCATTCCTCATGACGAGAACCAGGTGAAGGCAGAAAAGAGAGAGAGAGAGAGTGTGTTCTTTATTGGTTTTTTTATTGCTTAGATGTGTGGACGAGCTCACAGCCCACTTTTTGTTAAATGGTTACTGGAGCCCATAGACATTTACAAAGTAAATGCGCCACACACCTTGAGATATAAGTTCTAAGGTCTCAGTATAGTTACAACGGCTGCCCCACCCTTCAACCTGAAACGCATTACTGCTTCACGGCAGAAATAGGTGGGCAGTGGTACCTACCCGTGCGGACTCACAAGAGGTCCTACTACCAGTAATTACGCAAATTATAATTTTTTTAACGAACGAAACGAATTACGAATTGGAAACGGACAAATTAATAAAATATTTAGAGCTGGCCCACGAGACTACCGCCATGTGGCATATTGATTCAACCTTCATTGTTCCAATAATTGTGTCTACGGTTTGATAGTGAAAAATTTCGACAAACACCTGAAGAAACTTTCGTTCTCCAACTGTATTAAAGACTTAACACAGAAAGTCGTCTTTGATATGGCGCGTATTGTGAGGACGTCTCTCACTCTGGAGCTCTAACCATTGGTGGCTTCTGTCGTAGACACCCCTATTAGCGGCAATCTGTTTTTTATATGTTTTTAAGCCTTTTTTTAATATTGAGTAGTCAATAAGATTTTAATAAATATAGTATACAAGAGCCTACTAAACGAATGCTACGAACATGTTGCATACAAAACAAATAATATTGCGTTCAATTTTGTGTTAATGCATAAAAAAATATTTTTGTCAGAACTGTTAAAGTTTTGGTCAGAACTGTAAATGCTTATTTGTTTGTTTAACAGAACACTCGACTAATTTTTATTTTTATTAATCTAAACATTTGCAATACTAAATTTTTTCTTTAATTTCCCCTATTAGTTTAGTTTATCTTTAACAGACTTAGCTATATGTTATTGCTGCGCCATTGTTTTAGCTTTTTACTTAACTTAAATATTTTTTCAGGTCTCGAACCTAAGTACGAAACACCGAATTACGAGATTGGATTTTTTCTGATGGCGGTCGGAGTTTGTGTGACTTGCTACTTGCCAGCCAACATCACGGCTTACCTGATAACCGTAGCCGGATATTCAGAAGCACAGTTTTTGGCACTTGGACATGAACTCGCAAACCTGTGGCCGGACGCTCAACTACACTGCCGCGCAATGAACTTGAGCCAATCAGTAAATGAGCAAGCTAACGAATACGTGAAAATGCGATTGAGAGAATTAGTAAAAATACATTCCACCAATGTCAACCTTTTGAGGGATATAGAGGAAGCTTTTAGAGGAGCTATTGCTGTTGAATTTTTACTATTGATTGTGGGCCTTATAGCTGAGTTGCTGGGGGGCTTGGAGAATACATACATGCAGGTGCCTTTTGCGCTGATTCAGGTCTCGGTGGACTGCCTCACGGGACAGCGGGTGATGGATGCGAACTTGGCTCTGGAACGCGCGGTTTACGATTGTCGGTGGGAAGAGTTCGATGCAAGCAACCGTCGGGTCGTGTTGCTACTGTTGCAGAACGCACAGAAAGTAGCCACGCTGTCGGCGGGGGGCATCGCCACCCTTAACTTCAGCTGTCTCATGGCTGTGATCAAATCTATCTACTCTGCCTATACCACGCTTAGAACTACCATGAAATAATTTAAATTTATTGAAATAAATGTGTTCAGCTATCTATTTTAATCAACTTGAAAGGGCTTCTTTTGTATTGCTTAGGTAGTTGAGAGTTCGTCACACCCGACCCCTAGTTAAGTGATTACCGGAGACCGTAGACATCAACAAAGTTAATTCCACCACCTTGAAACATGAGTTCCAAGTCTAAGTTCTATAGTACAACAGCTGCCGACTCTTCGGAACGCACTACTGCTTAGCGGCAGAAATAGATAGGGTCGTGGCAATTACCCCTCCGGACTCACAAGACGCCCTGCAACCGATTTTATTTTACTACCGACAAATATTTACTTTTCGAATTTAAGATTTTCAGACTTCAAAACGTCGGATTGAATTGAAATTCAGCACACTTATCAACGATCAATAACAATACAGTAATTTGATATGTTGTTCTCGTTATCCTGACCAGTGTCTTCAGGATTAGCGTTTTTTTTTATGTCCAAAGACAACGTAGTATCTCATTAACAAGTATACTTTCCAGATGCTCACTGAAACGTACATTACTTAATCTACAAGACAAGCATGTGATCCGTTAGAAAAACAAAGAAATTTCCTTTGTTTTACCATCAAATAAATGATCCAAGACAATAAATTAAATTAACAATCATTAAGAGATCCAAATTTTAAAATTAAAAACATAAAAGTTAAAAACATAAGGTCAAAGATAATCTGCATAAAAAAACGGATTTCTAGTCTTCCAATTACTGAGTAATTCAAATTCGAAACGAGATTAAAACTGGAAAAATAATCGTTGAATAAAAATAAATTGCCACATCGGCAACGACGCCTTCTAATAATAATTGTTTCGCAAAAATAATTTTATGAACAAGTATGTTATGAATGTCCTTGGTATTATAGTTCCGAGCAAAACTATTGTTGAACACGAAAATTTAAATGGGAATCCATTCAAAATAAGTTCTAGAGTTTCGAATAAATTTTCAATGGTAATAAACTAAACTTTTAACAACTGTTTACATGTAAATGTCGAATATATTTCAGTCAGTTAAATCCCAAAATAACAGCTTGGAGTCTCTTTTTTTTCCTACCTATGCTGATAGCCTTGAGCCTATATCAGCGTTACCGGACGAGTAGGTGAGCTCACAGGGCTCAAACCTGGCGACGTTGCTAACACTGCCCCTAGCAAGAGCAGTACTTCGCAGATTCTACCACTTGATCGGAAACGCGATCCACTGATAAGATTCGGCGAGAAACTCAGTGGGCTGTGTCTGTGGGTTAGTTTACTCGCCGAGCCCTTCGTCGCAAGCGACGGGTTCGACGAGAACGATGACCGGTGCTTGTGGTACCTAAAAGCACCGTTAGTGGATCGGGAGGATCCGAAATGGCGTGTTTTGGACGACGTCAACTGTTTACCATTCGGTCCGCAGGATCGGGAATGTTGAAGTCTCTACAAAAATAACGAAACCTACTTTGTGGCCTACACAGTGTGACTAGATATAGAAAATTATCCTTTTTGCCAAGATCTTTCTTTAATAGACCGACCGACTTCCCTGATTCTTCTCCTTCGTTCTGCTTATTTCAATCAGATGAACAGATTGTCGCGAACTTTTGGTTTGAGTCGGTTCTTTAGCGTTTAATTATTACCTTTATAATTATAATTTTTTTGTTGCTTCTTTTTTTCTTTTTTAGTATTTATCCTTATGTGTTTTGACTAGATGATCTACATTTTTTTTTATTGCTTAGTTGGGTGGACGACTTCACAGCCCACCTGGTGTTAAGTGGCTACTAGAACCCATAGACATCTACAACGTAAAATGCGCCACCCGCCTTGAGATATAAGTTCTAAAATCTCAGTATAGTTACATCGGCTGTCCTACCCTTTAGACCGAAACGCATTACTGCTTCACGGCAGAAATAGGCAGGGCGGTGGTACCTACCCGCGCGGACTCACAAGAGGTCCTACCATAGATTATACACTTAATATATTTGAGAGGTCCTACCACGCAAATTATAATTTTGCGGGTTTGATTTTTATTACACGATGTTATTCCTGCACCGTGGAAGTCAATCGTGAACATTTGTTGAGTACGTATTTCAATAGAAAAATTGGTACCCGTCTGGGATTCGAACACCGGTGTATCGCTTTAACACGAATGCACCGGTCGTCTTATCCTTTAGGCCACGACGTCATCATCAAACGTACCTACGCGAAAGTTTAAAGGGTTGTGTGACGTCTAATTATTGGGTGGTGTTTGTTTAGCGTCCATTCGTTCTCTAAATAAAATAAACCGAGTAATATTTGAAGGTACGTGATTTATTTTAAGTTTCTAGTCTTGACTTGCAGGAGATGGCCTGAGGCCGGCCGCAGTACCACGTCTAACTTCAACTGCAGCTCAGCTTGTTCCGCGGTAAACTCCAGCTCTCGAACGCAACTTGCCAACACTGTCTTCAATATCGCCATAGCGTAATTTTTCCCTGTTGATATATATTTTTTATTGCTTAGATGGGTGGACGAGCTCACAGCCCACCTGATGTTAAGTGGCTAATGGAGCCCATAGACATCTACAACGTAAATGCGCCACCCACCTTGAGATATAAGTTCTAAAGTCTCAGTATAGTTACAACGGCTGCCCCACCCTTCAAACCGAAACGCATTACTGCTTCACGGCAGAAATAGCCAAGGCGGTGATACCTACCCCTCCGGACTCACAAGAGGTCCTACCACCAGTAATAAATATAATAAATGATATAATAAAAGTATACCATGAGATTGAACAGAGAACGAAAGATTTTGTGCTAGTTTGTATTTGTGGTCATGCAACACGCTTCATCTAGCTGATTTATACAGCTTGGTATTTTTCAATTAGTGGCAAATTCCCTATCAGGGTGTGGTTTGAACGGTTTTCTGGTGCTGCATAAGTTGGATATTGTCTTCAAGATATTTGACAGATGCCTGAATCTCGCTTACGACATTTTCAAGATCAACTTGCATATCGCACATACGGTGCTATAAAGTCACTTATGCAATTTTTGTTAACACAGAACTGTGTATGAGAAAATACATTTTTTAATAGTTTTTATTAGGGAGACGAGAGAGATGTTTGCTTTTACTGATGAAGTTTATAGTTTCAATATTATCATTTTATTTCTATAAGCCTAGCAGAATTTGTTTCAATTTATAAGTATTATATAATATTGAATTTTCCAACGTTTCCCTTGAAAAATTGAATAATTCGCATAAGTGACGTTATCGCACCGTATGTGCGATAAATACAAGTTCCGAACCAATACCATCTTTACCATAAGGGCACACGGGGCCCGTGCCCAGGGCCCCCATCCTCAGGGGCCCCCGAAAGACCGACAATTTCTCTCACACGTTTATTCTCAAAACATTTTTGTCGGGCACATTACACTTTTTTCACAAATCAGTAATCAGAAGGTATTTTTTATTTACAAGGCATATATTATACCTATAATAGAAGATTTTGCTCAACAGAAATCCCGAAAAAACCGATATCGAAATCGTAACCAAAAAACCAGCAGCATTCTAATATCATTAATGACATATTATAATATATCATACTGTATTTGATTACCTATAATAAACGGTCATACTCAGTAATTTTTTTTAATTATAATTCGCTTTTTTTACTTTCCAAAAGGGCCTCAAATTCTTGTGTGCCCAAGGGCCTCATCCCAGTTTAAGACGTCCCTGTTCCCAACAACAATATTCGCTCGATGGAAGGTCTCTCTTTTGTCGTTATCCCCAAAAGGTCATTGATCCAGACGTAACAGTTAATCCTCCTACCTATGCATGCTCTCCTGCCGTAGCTGAAGGCGAGGAAGGCAGCCGGCTGCGCGTGTGGCGGGGCCAGCCAGCGCTCGGGTCGGTACTCTGCCGCGTCGGGTCCCCAGAGTCGGCGCGCGCGGCCCATCACCATCGCGCTCACCGCGCACACCGTTCCTCGAGGCACCACGCACTTACCTGGAATTTGCTTGTCCAATTACTGGTAGCAGGCCACACCGGGCTGTTGTTAATGTCGCATTTATATCTGCCCTAAACACTTTTATAATCTCCTGTCAAATGTCAAAAGTTCGGAATAAACATATAAAAAAATATATACATATATTTATTTTGCTACCTATAATTTAAAATATACATAATATAAATGTTGTCGATGTCGCATCTCTTATTACACAGCATTCCCTATTACAAGGGCAATCTAATTTAAGGATGAAAAATGAAGAAAGCCACAATACTACACATCGAAAAAGAAGTTTCCCTTCATTCACGTGCACCAAGTTGCACGCGCACCGTTTTTATATATTTAAACTGACAAACTACCATTTAACATTTAAGCGTGTCTACGACGTTGGTTATTGTCAAAATTGTAGAAATGGAGAAGGAAGTCTATTGATTGATTGAAAATTCTTTACTGCACAAAAATATTGTACAAAGATGAACTTAACGCCATGCAGGCATTCTCTTCCAGTTAACCCTCGTTGATGAAGTGAAAGACTCAAGAAGTCCGTAGATAGCTGTGATAAAGTTAATACATGGCGATAATTTAAAGAATTATAGTCGACATGAGTAAAAATGAACATTATGTTATAATTACATTGCCAAAATCAATAGATAGATACATACATACAAATACATACAAAATACATAGATGAGAAATACATATCAACTAAAATAAATTATATAAACCACAATATACTACAGAACAATCAAGCAATCTGTGCTTTGAAAAACAGATCATGTAGATACTTTCGCTTTCAAAATATCAACTGTACGTGCTTCACGAAGACTCGAAAACTCTATGAGTCCCTGTTTTTCGTCATATCTCCATAGAATTCATTAAACTGTGAGAAAACGAAAAATAGTATGCATGCATTTATATATTTGTCTTTTTAGTAAGTTAACTATACGTTAACCCAAAGTGTAAAAGTTTTTTTTGTTTTTTTTTGGGGGTAGGTGTCAAAAGTGAAACAAGTGCTTTAAGTTTGAAAATTAAAATTAATTCATTTTATTT